GAGTCCAGCCTAGGCAACACATAGGGAGATCCTGTCTCAAAAAAAAAAAAAAAAAAAGCTTAAAACTGTTCTTCCCCACAAAAAGCCTATGTGGTAGGCACAGCTGTTTCTGAAAACAAACTATACAGGGTAGAGTTTCCACCTGGAGTCAAATTGTAAGTTCTGTAAGCACAGCATTGACCTAAATCATTATAGCCCAACTGAAATCAGTGGCTCCGGTATAATTCCCAGAGGTTCCCCAACCTCACCCAAACAACTTTTCTCTATTCAGCAATTTTCCATTGCTTAGATCTGCTGTTTCCATTCTATATTACTGATTTATTCTCTATTTATCTTTTTTTTTTTTTTTTTTTTGGAAACCAAGTCTTGCTCTGTCGCTCAGGCTGGAGTGCAGTGGTGCAATCTCGGCACACTGCAACCTCCACCTCCCAGGTTCAAGCGATTCTCCTGCCTCAGCCTCCCGAGTAGCTGGGATTACAGGCACCAGCCACCACGCCCAGCTAATTTTGGTATTTTTAGTAGAGGTGGAGCTTCACCATGTTGGTCAGGCTGGTCTCAAACACACCTTCACTTTCTCCACTGGAATTTTTGTTTACCATGTAACCATTAACAATATTCTCATATTCCTATGGAAGAGAAGAGGTTGAGGAAGAAAAGAATTCACACTCGTAAACTTCTGTTCAAATCGGAAAAATTTTATTATGGATTGAAAATCAGATAATTGTATTAAGTTTTTTTAGTTTGTTAGTTATATTGTAGATATGTAGGAGAATACCTTGTTCTTAGGAGATAATGCTGAAGTATTTAGGGATGAAGTATCATGGTGTCTGCAGCTAGCTGTTAAATAGTTCAGGAATAAAACAACAAAATTTATAAGTAAAGACAGATAAGCAAGTGTCTGATAAATGTTAACAGTTGATGAACAGGTGAAGCGTATATGAGTATTCATTATAGTATTCTTGAAACTTTTTAAGGTTTAAAAATGTATTAAACATATTACCATCATGATTTGAAAATTTTTGGAAAACCACTTCTATTTTAAAATATGTTATGATATTTTAGGCTCTAGAAAACTTCACTGTATACTTGTGAGAGAATGAGTGAAAAGAACATGTTAGTATTATACAAATAGTTTTGACCTGTCCTGGCATGGTAGCTCACACCTGTAATCCCAGCACTTTGGGAGGCCAAGATGGGCAGATCACTTGAGGTCAGGAGTTCAAGATCAGCCTGATCAATGTGGTGAAACCCCATCTCTCCTAAAAATATAAAAATTAGCTGGTCCTGGTGGTGGGCACCTATAATCCCAGCTACTCAGGGGGCTCAGGCAGGAGAATTGCTTGAACCTGGGAGGCAGAGGTTGTAGTAAACCAAGATCATGCACTACTGCACTCCAGTGTGGGTGACAGAGTTAGACTCTGTCTCAAGAAAAAAAAAAAAAAATTTTGACCTAGTGGACCCCCAAAAGAAGTATGTAGAGTGCAGGATCTGCAGGTGTTCCCTCACCACAGTTTGAGATTTGTTGCCTTAGAGTATTATTTTGATGATTTGATATAGTCTTATTTATAAAACTCCTAGTACACTGTCTGGATCTTAATAAGTGCTTAGAAACTATTAACTATTGTTATTCTTATAAAAGTAGCATATGAGAAATTTTAAGCACTGTAGACATCTGATCATATTTACAGTCTTAGGTCATTTTACCTACATGGTAGAAGGTAGATTGGTGAGGAATGAAAATAGCAACAGGGAGATGAGTTAGATTCCTTAGTAAGCTGACTAAAATGGTAAGCCCTTGAACTAAGACAGCAGAAGTAGAATTGGAGAATTAAAGGATGGGTTCTATAAATCCTGGTAGAAGAATGGAAAGTCTTACTGACTGATTGGATGTACAGTATTGGGGTTGGGAAGTCCTGGGCAGCAAGAATGAGGAACGAAGAACAATTCTTAGGTTTCTAGCTTAGGTATATACAGGAAGAAGAAAACCTTTGCAAAAAAAGATTAGGGAGTTCAGTTATAAGTGTATCTGTAGGCTACCTAGGTGGAAATAAATATCTAAGAGACAATTGAATAGATACTACATCGCAGGGAATTTGGATCCTTGATCCATAGGTTTTAGTTAAAGCCATAGATAAGAGAAGCCAGAAGGATGTGTAACATTAAATACAGAACCGTGGTGTGGTAGGCACCCTCTAAAATGGTCCCCAATGATCTCTGCTACTAGTGTTCCCTTTCATTTTCTGTTGAGTGTGGGCTGGACCTAATGATAGCAAAAGTGGTGAAATGCCACTTCTGCGATTAAGTTACCAAAAGACCATGTCTTCTTTTCTCCCTTTTATCCCCCAGAAAAGCAAATTGCCATATTGTGAGTATAAAGAAAACTGGCCTGGGTTTTAAAAGATCCCGGTTATTGGCAGTAGATCTGTTCCACTTACTGACTTGGTAAATAACCTATCTCTGGGCTTCGTTTTCCTTTTCTGTGAAATCAAGTTAATAATAATACCTCTCAATGAGTTGTTGAGAGAATTAAATTGGATGATTATTATAAAATGCTTAGTATGAATCTTCATGATTTTAGATTTGGCCGTGGATTTTTATTTTTATTTTCTTACAAGATGATCATGAACTTTATTCATTTCCAATTTAATTTTCACATATGTAACTGGAATCAAAAAGAATTGAGCTATGTTCCTGGAAATAAAATAAATAGACCAACTAAATTCTATATACAAGACAAACAGATAAAAAGAAAAATACCACCTAAGATGTCAGACAATAAAAAAGATGAAGTACTAGAAATACATCTATAGAATGATGTATACAAGACCTCTATAGTTAAAGAATACTTCATGGAGAGCCTTTGTAAAACACCAAATAAGTGAATATGAATAAATACTATAAGTAGATTAGAAAGCTCAGTATTTTAAAGATTTAAATTTCTCCCAAAAACATTGTGGATTTAATATAATTCCATTTACAATCCCCCAAAATTTCATGAAACTTATAGAAAAGCAAAGAGCCAGTAAAAACTAAGAGGCTCCTGGGTAGGTGCAGTGGCTCACGACTGTAATCCTAGCCCTTTGGAAGGCCGACATGGGAGGATCACTTGAGCTCAGGAGTTTGAGACCACCCTGGGCAGCATGGTGAAACCCATCTCTGCAAAAATTCCAAAAATTAGCTGGCTGTGGTGATGTGCACCTATAATCCCAGCTACTTGCGGGGTGGGGGGCTGAGGTGGGAGACTCACTTGAGCCTCAGAGATGGAGGTTGCAGTGAGCCAAGATTTCATTACTGCACTCCAGCCTGGGTGACAGAGCAAGACTCTGCCTGAAAAAAGGCAAAAAAAAAAGCTGAGAGGCTCTTGTTAAGGGACCGTGAGTTTAGATATGACACCAAAAGCACAACAAAAGAAAACACAGGTATGTTGAACTTCATTAAAATTAAAACTTGTGTGTGTCCAAGGACATTATCAATAAAGCAAAAAGACAGAATGGGAGAAAAATTTTGCAAATTATATTTCTGATAAGGGTCTAGTATCCAGAAGAAATAAAGAAATCTTAGAACTCAACAATAAAAAGGCAGCCCAATTAAGAAATGAGCAAAGGACTTGAATAGGCATTGTTCCAAAGAAGAAATACAAATGGCTAGCAAACACATGCAAAGATGCTCAACATCAGTAGTCGTTAGGGAAATCCAAATCAAAACCACAGTGTGATACCACTTTATACCCTTTAGGGTGGCTATAAAACAAAACAAAACCAAAAAAACAAAACCAGAAAATAACAGGTATTGGCAAGGATATGGTGAAATTACAACTCTCATACTTTGCTGGTGGCAATGTAAAATTGTATAGCCCTTGTGGGAAACTGTTCAGTATTTCTTCAAAAGGTTAAAAGGTAGAATTACCATATGACCCAGCAATTCCACTGCTAGGAATACCCAAAGCATTGAAGACAGGTACTCAAACAACTGCTTCTACATAAATGTTCACATCAGTACCATTCACATGAGCCAAAAGATGGAAACAACTGAAGGGTCCATCAACAGATGAATGAATAAACAAAATGTGATATACCCATACAATGGAATATTATTCAGCCATTCAAATGAATGAAGCACTGATGCTACAACATATAAATGAATCTTGAAAATACTATACTATATGAAGGCAGTTAAACCCAAAGGGACACATAATATATGATTTCATTTATATGAAATATATAGGGTAGGTAGATTCAGAAGACATGAAAAAGCAGATTAGTGGTTCCCAGGGTCTAGAGAAAGTGTGGAATAGGGAGTGACTGCTTCACAGATTTGGGATTTTTTGGAGGATGGTGAAAATGTTTTGGAACTTGTTATAAGTGGTGGTTGCATGACATTGTAAATGCACTAAATGCTACTAAATTGTATACTTTAAAAATGTGAATTTCACCGCAATCAAAAACTGCCTAGTATGGTGTTTGACACCTAGCAAGCAACCAGTAAATTTAAAATATTATTGCATAGTATCACCTTTATGAGAAATTTAGCTTTGTCACCTTGGTCATCAGTTTCCTGAGCTGAAAAAATGAAGTTGTTGAAATAGAAGACCTCTAAGGAACTTACAATATTAAAATTCTATTTTAAGGCCTAGTTTTTTGTTTTTGTTTTTGTTTTTCCCCCTTTTGAGATGCAGTCTTGCTCTGTCTCCCAGGCTGAATGGCATGATCTTGGCTCACTGCAATCTCCGCCTTCTGGTTTCAAGCAATTCTCCTGCCTCGGCCTCCGGAATAGCGGGGATTACAGGTGCCCGCTACCATGTCCAGCTATTTTTTTTTTTTTTTTTTGGTATTTTTAGTATAGACAGGGTTTCACCATGTTGGTCAGGCTGGTCTCAAACTCCTGACCTGAGGGGATCTGCCTGCCTCAGCCTCCCAAAGTGCTGTAATCCCAAAGTGCTGGGATTACAGGTGTGAGCCACTGTGCCCGGCCAGTCCTAGTATTTCTAATTCATACAGTTAATATTTATTGTGTAACTTCAGAGTACTATGCTAGGCAGCAAGGACTTAGCAGTAAATAAGACAGACATGGTTCCTCCTGTCATAAAGCTAACATTCTACTAGATAAGGCCTTACCCAAATAATTATTTGCTGAGACATTGTTCTAAGTACAATGTGGGACAAAGCTTAAGAGGGCAGGGATGGGTCTCCTGAGAAAAACATATTTAGGTATGACGAATGAGTAGGAGTTAATTGGGTGGAAAGAAGGGAGATGAGCTTTCAGAAGGGAACAGCAAAGTCTGGTAGTGGGAAGGCACACAGTGCCTTTGAAGAACTGAAAGTTAAGACTAATATGACTGGAATTCAAACAGTGACTGGTGAGATAGACAAAGGTTGGATCATGTGAGATTTCTCAGGTTTATTAAGTGTTTTGGATATTATACTGAGAGCAATGGGAAGTCACTCAAAAGCTTTAAGCAAACAATATTCAGTTTCTGATCACGTAGAAAATGGTTTGCAGGAAGGCAAGCGAGGAACTAGGGAGACAAAGTAGGAAGTCATTGGAATAGCTAAGGCTGTGCTGCCTACAACTAGGGTACTGGTAGTCAACATGGAGATAAGTAGTTAATTTGAGAATGATTTAGGACACAGAATAAGTATTTTTTTTTTAACTTAAAAAAAAAATTTTTTTTTTTTTTTTTTTTTTTTTAAGAGATGGGGTCTGGCTGTGTTGCCCAGGCTGATCTTGAACTCCTGGCCTCAAGCACTCTTCCATCTCTTCCTCCCAAAGTGCTGGGAGTACAGGCATCGACTACCACGCCTAGCCAGGACAGAGAATAAGTCTTGATGGACTAGCTGTGGGAGAGGGCAGAAAGGTGTCAGGGATGACTCCTAGATTTCTGATGAGCATATAAATCAGTGGCATGCAAAGAACAATGGAGGGACCTCTGCTTTTGGTCAACTTGGTTTGTCAGAGACTAGATTCACCTTACCTGAAACAATTTTTTTAAATGACAAACTATATGAAATAATGATTTTCAGGATGCTGGACATCAGACAACAAAGGACAGTGATCACCAAAGAGAAAGGATATAAAAGAGGTGAACTTTGTGACTGCCCTAGTTTACTGCTTTGAAAGAGCTTCCAGGCTCTGGTGCAGGGAGAGGGATCCAGGCAGAGGTTGGTGGGCTTCCCGAGTTGAAGAAACAGCTAAGAGTGTGGAGAGGCCAGGGCAGCTAGAGTTCACAGGACAGCAGAGTACCAGAGAGGAGAGTGTGGCACAGAGAAAGAAGAGGGATCCACAGAGTCCTCCTGGAGTATTTAGCTGAGGACTGATCACCACATTCATGTGAAGAAGCTACTGGAGGACGAAGACAGAACTGTCTGAAAGGATTGGAAGGAACAGTGCCGTGGCACCATACACGCATGCACCTCCCAGGTTCAAGGGATTCTCCTGCCTCAGCCTCCCAAGTAGCTGAGATTGCAGGTGCCTGCCAACATGCCTGGCTACTTTTTTGTATTTTTGGTAGAGACACGGTTTCACCATGTTGGCTAGGCTGGTCTCAAACTCCTGACCTCAGGTGATCCACCTGCCTTGGCCTTCCAAAGTGTTGAGATTACAGGTGTGAACCACCGTGCCTGGCCCTACTCCCACCAAACTGGAAAAACCTCATTCCCAAGACACCAGGGAGGACTCAAAAGGATCTTGCCTCTGTAGTGTGGAATATATTTATCAAAACATCAAAGTGTACACTTGAAATTTGTGCATTATCATATATGAATTATATCTCAGTTAAGCTTTTTACAAAAGAATGCTGTGGCTGGGCGCAGTGGCTCACACCTGTAATCTCTTTGGGAGGCCAAGGCAGGCAGATCACTTGAGGCCAGGAGTTCGAGACCAGCCTGGCCAACATGGGGAAACCTTGTTTCTACTAAAAAGTATAGAAAATTAGCCGGCTGTGGTGGTGCACACCTGTAATCCCAGCTAATTAGCAGGCTGAGGCACGAGAATCACTGGAGCCTGGGAGATGGAGGTTGTGGTGAGCTAAGATAACACCACTGCACTCCAGCCTGGGCAACAGAAGAAGACTCTGTCTGAAAAGAAAAAAGAATGCTGGAGGAGGAACAGATTGTAAGGAAAGATTATGCATTTGGTTTTTGACATGGGGTTTGTCTTTGGATGTTAACTGGACACATTGTGTAGGCAGTTAAATGTATGGATGAGTGACGTAGTTTTAGTGGGATGGTGGAGGCAGTTTGAAACAGAGTGAGGAATGAATGGAATGTAGGAAATGGAAATAAGAAAAGGAGGTCATTCTTTTCAGAGTCTGACTCATCAGAGGGACAAAAGGTGAAAGCTAGTGGGAGAAGTGGAATCAGAGTTTAGTTGCTTTAGGTCAATAGACTTAATATACACTTAAATCTCAAAGCAAAGATGGAACTTGCAGGCAAATCAAATATAAGTAAGGTTTCTGAGAGGGTGTGAAGGCATGGGACTTAGAATACAGGTGTGTTAGTCTTAGACTGGAAGAGAGCTACTTTGTCTACTCTTTCATATCAGGAGAAATGAGGGGATAGATGAAGATCAGATCTGTGAGATGGTGGGAAGGTGAAAGGGTGCTTATATGTTGGATCCCAGACTTTGCTTTTCTGTATCTCTGAAGTACATGAAGCCAGGCACAGTGGCTCACCCCTGTAATCCCAACACTCTGGAGGCTGAGGCGGGAGAATCACTTGAGCGCAGGAGTTTGATATTGCCCAAACAACATAGTGAGAACCCATCTGTACAAAAAATAATTAGCTGGGTGTAGTGGCACATCCCTGTAGTCCCAGCTACTTGGGAGGCTGAAATAAGAGGATTGCTTGAGCCCAGGAGTTTGAGGCTGCAGTGAGCTGTGATCATGCCACTGTACTCCAGCCTGGGTGACAGAGCAAGTCCACAGAGTGGACTATAAAATGGATGTATAGTCCATTTTCATGCTGCTGATAAAGACATACCCCAGACTGGGAAGAAAAAGAGGTTTAATGGGCTTACAGTTTCACATGGCTAGGGAGGCCTCATCATGGCAGAAGGCAAGGAGAAAAACATCACATCTTACATGGAGGCAGCAGGCAAAAAGAGAGTTTGTGCAGGGAAACTTCTTTTTTAAAAAATCATCAGATCTTGTGAGACTCACTTACTATCAAGAGAACAGTATGGGAGAAACTGCCCCCATGATTCAGTTATCTCCCACCATGTCCTGTCCTTCCCCTAAAACATGGGAATTATGGGAGCTACGAGATGAGATTTGGGTGGGGACACAGAGTCAAACCATATCATCCTGTCTCAAAAAAAATAAATTATATGAACACATATTAGGAAATGAGGAATTTACCAAACAGGTTTGTTTGTTTGTTTTTGCGACGGAGTTTTACTCTTGTCATCCAGGCTGGAGTACAATGGTGCAATCTTGCCGGACTGCAAGCTCTGATTCCTGGGTTCAAGTGATTCTCCTGCCTCAGCCTCCCAAGTAGCTTGGATTACAGGCGTGCACCACCACTCCCAGCTAATTTTTGTATTTTTAGTAGTGGCAGGGTTTTATCATGTTGGCTAAGCTGGTCTCAAACGCCTGACCTCAGGTTATCTGCCCACCTCAGCCTCCTAAAGTGCTGGAATTACAGGCATGAGCCACCATGCCTGGCCTAAGTAGGCTTTTGTTTTTGTTTTTGTTTTTCTGAGATGGAGTCTTGCTCTATTGTCCAGGCTGGAGCACAGTGGCATGATCTTGGCTCACTGCAACCTCCACCTCCAAGGTCTAAGTGATTTTCCTGCCTCATTCTCCTGGGTAGCTGGGATTACAAGTATGTGCCACCATGCCCAGCTGATTTTGTTTTGTTTTAGTAGAGATGGGGTTTCGCTATGTTGGCCAGGCTGGTCTCAAACTCCTGGCCTCAAGTAATCCGCCTGCGTCAGCCTCCCAAAGTGCCAGGATTACAGGCATGAGCTTCCATGCCCAGCCCTAAGCAAGCTTTTAATTGTAGAATTGACAACCAAAAATTTAAACATAATTTAGGAATTAAATTTATTTAATGTAATTAATTGTTTGTTTGTTTATTTATTGAGATGGGATCTCTGTTGCCCAGCTGGTCTCAAACTCCTGGGCTCAAGCATTTCTCCTGCCTTGGCCTCCCAAAGTGCTAGGATTACAGGTGTGAGCCACGTTGCCCAGACCAGAAATTAAATTTTTTATTCTTAAGTATTCTGATTGTCTATTTGCCTTCTAGGGTATTGTGTAACAAATAACCAGCCCAAATCCTGTCACCCATTGTCCAATATACTTTGTCAAATTCTATAGTTGTGCTTTTCATGGCTGTTAGCAATCTTGAGTGAACCCTGGTGTCAGCTTAGAATTCCTAAATGCTGTGGTATTTCTACGTGAGATTGAAGGATATCCAAGAATAAACTTTGTTCTTTAAGTGACTTTTTTTTTTTTGAGATGGAGTTTTACTCTTGTTGCCCACACTGGAGTGCAGTGGCATGATCTAGGCTCACTGTAACTTCCACCTCCCAGGTTCAAGGGATTCTCCTGCCTCAGCCTCCCAAGTAGCTGGGATTGCAGGTGCCTGCCAACATGCCTGGCTACTTTTTTGTGTTTTTGGTAGAGACACGGTTTCACCGTGTTGGCTAGGCTGGTCTCAAACTCCTGACCTCAGGTGATCCACCTGCCTTGGCCATCCAAAGTGTTGAGATTACAGGTGTGAACCACCATGCCTGGACCTAGGCTTAAACTTTTTAATACATGCCCATTTTATAGGTGAACAATTATGTTTACCTATTTTTAATATGTATTTCTTTGGTTTCTAGTAATGTTTACTAGCCACTTGTTTTTCCTCCTTTTATGAATACTGTTATAGTGTTATCTGTTTTTCTGTTGATTCAGTTTTCAGTATTTAAAGATGAGGAAACTAAGATCTGAAAAAAGTGACTTTCCCAAGGGCACCTAGTAATTTAGTGATAGAATCAATCATCATAGCATGTTAAAGCTGGAAGGAATCTTAGAGATTGAGTCACAACCCTGTAATATTACAGATGCAGGAACAGAGGCCTAAAGATCTTAGGTGACTTACCTAAGGATAGCTACAAAGCTCATCAGTGACAGAACCTGGCATCTGAATCATGAGATCATGAAAAGGAAAGGGCTGTTAACATTTATGAGCCTGTTATATTTCTTACATGTGTTTTCTCATTTAATTCTCACTACTATTTATTATTGCCATGTAAACAGATGAGGTAACTGAGGTTCATCGAGCTTTAATGATTTGCCCAGACTAACAGTTATTTGTAAAACTGGCACTGAAGTCCAGGTCTTCTGATTCTTAATCCAGGGGTTCATTGCCTCATGATAGTAACAGTGGATGTTTCTTTGCTTCACTCAAATGTTCCTTTGATAAAATATGATTTGCTTCTTTTTTTTAAATTTTTTATTTATTTATTTATTTTTATAAGGACTGACCAAGATTCTTGTGTGTTGATACTATGGGGGGAGAGTTCCAGGGAAAGGGGGAGATGGATAGCCTTTGGAGGGGTGAGGTCCACTTTTTTTTTTTTCCCTAAAAAAAGAAGAAAGAAAGAAAGAAAAAGAATAATAAAAAGAAAGAATGAAGGAGAGGAAGAAAGAGAAAGAGGAAGAGGGAGAAAGAACGGGGGTGTTGCTTTATTGCCCGGGCTAGAATGTAGTCTAAAAATTGGTATGCCTATAATTGTGCTTAATAATAGAGACATGAAAAAAAAAATGAGGGAAGAAAATAACAAACAAGCAGCCAACCAATATTTCATTTAAACCTGTAAATAGATGTGATGTGGTACTGATAAGAGTGTATATTTTGTGTATTTAAAGTGGAGAGTTCTATAAATGTTAATTAAGTTTACTTGTTCCGGATCTGAGTTCAAATCTTGGATATCGTTGTTAATTTTCTGTCTCATTGATCTGTCTAATATTGATGTTGAAGTCTCCCACTATTATTGTGTGGGAGTCTAAGTCTCTTTATAAGTCTTATATATCTGGATGTTCCTGTGTTGGGTGCGTATATATTTAGGATCTTTAGCTCTTCTTGTTGCATTGATCCTTTTATCATTATGTAATATCCTTCTTTGCTTCTTTTGATCTTTGTTGCTTTAAAGCAACTCCTGCTTTTTATTTATTTATTTATTTTTGCTCTCCATTTGGTTGGTAAATCTTTCTCCATCCCTTTGTTTTGAGTCTTTGTGTATCCTTGATGTGAGATGGGTCTGGATGCAGCCTACTGATGGGTTTTGGCTTTTTTTGCCTGTCTGTGTCTTTGGATTGGGGGATTTAGTCGATTTAAATTTATAATTAATAATAATATATGTGAGTTTAATACTGCCATTTAATGTTAGCTGGCTGTTTTGCCTATTAGTTGATGTAAATTCTTGATTATGTTGATGCTCTTTACTTTTTGGTATTTTTTTAGAAAGGCTGATACTGGTTGTTCCTTTCTATGTGTAGCGGTTCTTTCAGAAGCTCTTGTAAAGCAGACCTGGTGGTGACAAAATCTCTGAGTGCTTGCTTGTTCACAAAAGATTTTATTTTCGCTTATGAAGCTTAGTTTGGCTGGATGTAAAATTCTGGGTTGAAAGTTCCTTTCTTTAAGGATGTTGAATATTGGCCCCCACTCTCTTCTAGCTTGTAGGGTTTCTGCTGAGAGATCTGCTGTGAGTCCGATAGGCTTCCCTTTATGGGTAACCTGACCTTTCTCTCTGGCTGCCCTCAGTATTTTCTTCTTCATTTCAACCCTGGTGAATCTGGCGATTATGGGCCTTGAGGTTGGTCTTCTTGAGGAATATCTTTGTGGTGTTCTCTGTATTACCTGGAGTTGAATATTGTCCTGCCTTGCTAGGTTGGGAAAGTTTTCCTGAATAATATCCTGAAGCGTATTTTCCAGCTTGGATTGATTCTCTTTGTCACATTCAGGTACACCTATCAAGCGTAGATTAGGTCTTTTCACATAGTCCCATATTTCTTGGAGACTTTGCTCATTCCTTTTTTTTTTTTTTTTTTTTTTGAGACGGAGTTTCTTTCTTGTTACCCAGGCCGGAGTGCAATGGCGCGATCTTGGCTCACCGCAACCTCCGCCTCCTGGGTTCAGGCAATTCTCCTGCCTCAGCCTCCTGAGTAGCTGGGATTACAGGCACGCGCCACCATGCCCAGCTAATTTTTTGTATTTTTAGTAGAGACGGGGTTTCACCATGTTGACCAGGATGGTCTCGATCTCTTGACCTTGTGATCCACCCGCCTCGGCCTCCCAAAGTGCTGGGATTACAGGCTTGAGCCACCGCGCCCGGCCTGCTCATTCCTTTTTATCCTTTTTTCTCTAATCTTGTCATCTCGTTTTATTTCATTAAGTTGGTCTTCAACTTCTGGTATCTTTTCTTCTGTTTGATCTATTCGGCTGTTAAAACTTGTGCATAGTTCGCAAAGTTCTCGTGTTGCGTTTTTTAGCTCCATTAATTCACTTATATTCCTCTCTAAATTGTGTATTTTTGTTAACATTTCATCAAACCTTTTTTAAAAGTTCTTAGTTTCCTTGCATTGGGTTAGAACAAGTTCTTTTAATTCACTGAAGTTTCTTATCATCCACCTTTTGAAGCCTGCGTCTGTTAATGGTACACATTCGCTCTCCATCAGGCCTTGTTCTGTTGCTGATGAGGAACTGCGATGCCCTGTAGAGGGAGAGGCGTTCTGATTTTGGGTATTCTCAGCCTTTAGGCTGTTTTCTTCCCTTCGTTATAGATTTATCCATCTGTGGTCTTTATAATTACCGTCTTTATAATTGGGTTTCTGAATGGACGTCCAACTTGTTGATTCCCGGCGCTAAAATCTGAGCAACCCACTGCACTGGCCAAAACAGCAGTGTTATGATTGATGGTGCTTTTCTCACTCTGCACCAAGAACCGCCGCACCAAGGCAGAGGTAAAACCGCCTCCCCGGTCACAAGAGTTGCGCTGGCAACCTGTGGGGCTCCTCCGCTGGGAATCCCCTGGTGCATGAGCAACAAAAATTCGTCTGAAAGTGTGGCATCCTCTCGTTCTCTGCGCTTTCACTGGGAGCTACAATCCTGAGCTGCTAGTGATCAGCCATCTTGGATCTCTCTCCTGATTTGCTTATTGAAGCTTGTAAATAAACCTTTATTTCACAGTTCCTGTTGATACTGGACACCAGTCTGACACTTAAGACACTTGCAAGCTTAAGGAACTTTTTGTTATAAACAAAAGCAGATCAAAGACCATCTTAATGCTTATTGGATGAATAGAATTGAGATCCATGCACTAGATATGACTTAAGTGGTTTTTTTTTGTTGTTTGTTTGTTTGTTTGTTTGAGATGGAATCTCGCTGTGTCTCCAGGCTGGAGTGCAGTGACACGATCTTGGCTCACTGCAACTTCCGCCTCCCAGGTTTAAGTGATTCTTCAGCCTCAGCCTCTCAAGTAGCTGGGACTACAGGTGCACACCACCACGGCCAGCTAATTTTTGTATTTTTAGTAGAGATGGGATTTCACCATATTGGCCAGGAGGGTCTCAATCTCTTGACCTCATGAACTGCCTGCCTCGGCCTCCCAAAGCGCTGGGACTATAGGCTTGAGCCACCGCGCCTGGCCATGACCTAAGTTTTTTATGGTAGTGATAGTCTGAGTTGAAACTCTTAGCATTTCCTTAGAACTAATTTTATTCTACAGAGAATAAAATCTTAATATATAAAATGAAAATGATGTTTGCATTCTGTGAAGTGTAAAATGGACCTCAAATCAGCAAGGAGTAAATAAGAACAAAACTGAAACCATGTCAATTGTATCCTCCATATCTAAAAAAAAGCCTCATTTCTTGACAGGGCTCAAAATTTCAAAATCTGTCAGAGCTAATTTGGTTGAGGCTTCATCCTATGGAGATGCACAAAGATTAGTATTGACTTGTGTATAACTTTGATGACACTCTTGATTTGGTCCAGTTATGTAAAAGTTTGTTGGTAAAATCTATGTTCTACATTTCTGCTTTGCAGAGAAATCTTGTAAGTGATTGGGTTGGTGTTTTTAAAACCTGCTAGTTGCATCTAAATAAGCTGGGGAAGATGGAGGAGAGCAGCATGTAACAAAATGTTCCTTTTTTCCCTTCACATACGATTTTATTAAAAGCCTTCTAGAATATAGGTACCCAAAATTAACTTACTTTATTCTTTCTAGTTTTCAATAGTGGGGATCTGTTAAGCCTTAATATTTAAGAAATAGACATTGATTCTTATCTCTGGATTTTTCTGATTTGCTTTATTGTAACAAGAGCTGCGTATTAATTAACACATTAATCAGTGCATGCAGAGATGGTTACATAACAGTCTGAGCCGTTAACTCAGTCCACTATTGAAAAACAAGTATCTCTAGAAGTAATTCTTGTTCTAGTAACATAACAGTCCTTTAAAATATCCTTTGGAATGTTGAAAAGAGATCAAATGAAACCTTCAGAATAGTTATTTATTAGGGAACAAGAAACCTCCAATTTCATTCACCCATTGTAGCTCCACTTTCTCATTTTAATGCTCAATCCACAGTGACGATGGTAAAAGATGTCCTGCACCTACAGAGATGTCAGTGGGAGAGGGGACATCACCTTTCCATTTATTGCTTGTTGCAATTTGGCCCGTTTACAGACAGGATTGCTCTGTGGGTTCTTCTAGTGGAAAGTGGAGGAAATCAAGATAGCAACAAGAAATCAGCATTTGCACATGACCCATGAATTGGCTAATTTTTAACATGTAGTTAAGAAATGATTACAGGCTGCAGAGTCATGACCTCAACTTT